CGCGGAAAGGAATAAATAAAATCCAAAAAGAGGTGGATCAATTTTCACGCTCAATTCATTGCCAACTGATGTACCTGCATTAATTCAGGTATACAATGTGAAAATGGCGAAATGCATTCAATTGTGCAACACATAATACAAATAACCCATCGGGACCTATGCCGGGAAAATATGCTCGGCATTTTCTCAATATCCTTTCTCTCTTTCACCAATGTGATATGCCCTCAGGTCCACACCGTTATATAGAACAAGTAATAAAATAATTTTAACGACCTACTTGAATTATGTGCGGTACAAATAATAATATCTGGCGTGCACGCATACCCGCAATAAATATCGCCCGGATCTCGCACCGTATATAACTATATGCCCCCTTATTCGTTTGGGTTCATGCTGCCAATCCCCCCTTTTTTTCCTTTTTTTTTATTTTTATTTTCCTCCAATAGGGTCTGTACGAATTGCGAGAATCGGGCCCTTCATCAGTGGCTCTCACTTTTAACCTTTTATTCGGATATTATTATTACGGTTATTATTGCCGAGTCAACCCCCTGCGGACAGAAAATAATTCAATGATTTTATGGACTCAGTAAATTGTCGTGGCAATTTTGTAATTGCGTGGCCAGGCCATTTGCTCCTGGAACGAGATAGTTTTTAATTAAGGCACACGCTTGGGAATGCCGGAAAATTTCAACTACAATGGCATCGGAATTTTTAATTTGTTCAAATTCACTTTGTGTGATTTTTATAAAAATTAAGAGAAAGAGTTGGGATGAATGGAGATTGAATTCCATTCGTAATTGCTCGACAAAATGTCCCCACATTATTATGATTTCCAAAGTAGGGATTATAAAGGCGTTTGCTCTCGTTATTCACTCTCAATACAAAAGTACATAATATGTATCAAGCCTCGATATACCGGTGTATTTATTATTTCATCTCTTTGAAGAGTTTACCAGTGTCACAGATGCTGGTGATGTGTCCACTTATCCCCCAGATATATTTTCAGCATTGTTGACTCCTCCTTGTCTGTGGGAATTAGGGATAATGATGTGCCATTGTACCATTGAGAAAACGAGAAAAATATGGATTATTGTTAGTTGACATTATCCGAGTCCCGAGTAAAATCCAGTAGTTAATAGACCGTTTGGATATTTCCTTCATCATGGGTGAGTGATTTTTCCAGGCCTCGTCGCCCAATGATTTATTATGGCTCCAATGAAATATTGAATTGACTCATTGTTGCCCAATTTTCTCGCTAAGTTTGACTCATCTCTGAGAAATTCCACGAGAAATTCCTCGAGAAATTCCTCGAGAAATTTTTCGAGAAATTCTCAATGCCAAAAAATTGTATTCCAAAAATTTTCCGAGACTTGTCGCATGATCGCTTCGACATTTTCCGAAAGTTTCACACTTTCTGACCTAAAAAAATATTAATATTACCGAAAATCCGAACGACCCACATAAAATAATCCACTGGTCACAGACAATTGTCCCAAGGTACTTTGAAAAGTATTTATTACTCCTATTGCTAAGTCGTTATTTGCCGTACTCAGTGAGTAAAAATAATTCCGTGAATCCTTGAATGACTTCCTCCTCCTCAGAAGGGTTGTATATACCCCACGCAGGGTGTTGTAAATAATCGTCAATTCCACTAGTGACTCGGTCATATACCTGATCGTTGCGGGCTAGGTTACGAAAAATGAGGGGCAGCCATAAAATTTTATTAGGGCAAAAGTGCCCTCAGCAATTGGACATTTTCATCCTTTCTTAGCAGCTCTCAAGGTATTTGAGGTTTTAACAATGAAATACCTGTGGAAACGAAACGGAAATTGAGAGGATTGGGGAGAAGGTGTTCTGTTGAGGAAACGGTAGCAGGTAATCGAGAAAGGACATGAACCAGTGTTTTTCCCTTATAATAATGGCCGTTCACGTACTCCATTTGCTAGGATGAAATGTAAGCCGACCTGGGGCTGTAACTTGGAATTTTTGGGGTGGAGGCCCTTGATTTCCTCGATTTTCCAGGCGTCATTGTTGCTGGTGGATTGGTGACACACCTCAAATAACAATTGGTACTTCGAGGTGCGTTAATGTGACCGATGGTAACGCTTCATGAACTTGAATGGATCAATGTCGGCTAATGATCGATCGTTACGATCTTGCAATCATTGGTTCACCACAAAAGCTCTTCCTGGTGCATTGATGACAAAAAAAAATCCTTCTCACAAGTCCAAATACTTGTCTCGGTGTCAGACAAATGAAATTTCAATGTGAATACCCCGAAATTTGTCGTTTTTCTGGTTGTAATATCACATTCTACAAGTGGTACATAAACGCCCTGAGTACGGGGATTGATAGTAGTTGAAGTATAAGGGAGTGAGTACATCACTTGCATACTGTTGATACAAGGAGAATAAAAATAGACTGAGCAGGAGAGAGAGAGGAGGAATGAGTGAAAAAGGAGAGAGAAAAGATACGATACAATAAGTCAGTTCCAACCACAGGAGGCAGCGGGAGGTCTTTGTGATTCAAATCAATGTTTGTTGATACTCGATGTGAGCTCCTTGTTGCCCATTGCGTTCGCAACTTTAAACAGTCATAGAATACACGGTATATACTCGAGTGCCCTCCCCTCTTGTACCCCTCTATCGCCCCTGCGCATAACTAGGCGTGCATAATGTACCATTGTTGTCTTCGTCAAAAAAAGGGAAAGTTATATTTTTTTTCCTCAGTGCAGAATAAAAAAATCCATGTATACATGAAAATGGAGGGAAAACAATGGTTCAACCGGAATTTAGTACAGACATTGCCAACAGGTGATACCATTTGGTAGCTTTTACTTGTGTCGCGGGTTTAATGAGGGAAAGCAAAAGAAAGCAAAAGACTGTGTGGGGGAATTGATTGAGTCCATTTTGATTTACTCAATTTGTAAAATATCATTTTTGAGTGGAGTGCGCGACAAGTGTTTAAAAAGTGTTAAAAAAAATTGCGAAAATTGTAATCTTTTTTCTTGAAGATGCTGACATAAAGGGGAAGACGAAAAGTGGCTGTATAACCCACATCCAGGGCTATGCAGCAGCACCACCCGACACAATGAGTCCAGGGATTCGACGCGTTTGTTCGCTCCAAATTGAACCGCCACCTTTCCCCCCCATTTACTCTCTCTTTCTCGCGTTCATTGTCATTGTGCACATACACCGGGGCCCACACTATGATTATCTATGACGCATTCTTCCATTATATCTCCCGGCAACAGGTCCTATATACGCAAGGACAGATCAGTAGAATGAGAGCTCGCAGTGTGCGAGGTGGTGCTCAGTCGCATGGCCAAAATACAAGAAGGGAATGAAAAATAAAAAATAAAAAAAAAAGGGATGAAGAAGCATCCGAGTCTTTCGGCACGGCCTGGTGCATCTCTTTGGAAAGCCGAGGGATGCCCCCCGCCAAAAAAAAAAAAAAGTAAAAATAAAGTTTATGCCCAAAAGGAAAATTCAAAGACCCGCGAGACGAATCGATCTGACGCGTGCGTGTACGTTATATCTACTTTTTTTTTCTTTCTATATTTTTTTTTTTGTATAGGGTAAACATAAAAATTTTCGACTTCATTTAACCGTTATTAAAGAAAAAAGAGCGACATTACCTCAGTTCAATGATTTATCGGCCATTCCACTTTCGTCACCTTGGAAAATACAAAGAAATAAAACTTGAAGGTGAAGAGCGTTAGAAATTATCTAATACTTTATAGGAATAAAGAAAAAACTGGAATCCATGTGCGCGCACACTTGTGTTTACCGACATTATATTATGTACAAATGATAATAAATGATCACTGGGTAAATTTCGTGATGATAAACATTTGTCATTGTGGTCGTTTTTAACGAGTGGCTGCAGCCACTCGCGAAAAGTTTCCACAAAGTTTTCTTGAGTTTATAAAATCAGGCGCGTGCCACAATTGTTGAATGTCTTTCATTGTACAAATTCCCATTGACCGGTGAAGAGTCACGGGAAAATGCCCCTAAATGCCGTGTAAATAAATACCAAAATGGTGTATTATCGGTGGAATCACCCATTATTGTGGCTCTCGTTTGGTGGGGCTTTTGCAAGAGAAAGAGAGAGAGGAATCCATTGAACCTTGCGCCAGCGCGTGAGAAGCCCCATCATCCCCATCTCTTTTATTATATATACCTTTTTGTGTTATACAAAAAGAAGAAACGGCTTCAGTGAAAGTAAGTGATGAGGAGGAAGTACAATGCCCATGCACTTCTTACTGGTCGAATTGAATATTCAATAAACATATCATCACATTCTGAGGGATTCCACTCTGCATTGACTTCAGGCTTTCATTATTTCCACTTCAATTTCGATTTTATTTCGTTAATCCATTCAGAATGAGTCAATAATTGTAAAAATATACCGGTATTATTCCACGGGTATAATTAATTTGCAGAAGTGGAAATTTGAAAATTTATATTTTGCCCGTTGAACCTAGTAATTTAAAAATAGGAGGGAGAAGCACCTAGTTCCACGCTCTCATGCAAGATAAAGCGGGAAAACATTCGGTTGTCCTTACAGTTTGCTCCTGAAGAGGTCGCCAGGTATAACCGGGTGACGTCACGAGTGGTGATGGCTCCGCCCCCGGGTCGGTGGAATGCGTAACTGTGATTGGTGGATGGAAATGATGGCAGGCGTGTGTGCCAATCGATTTTGCCGGCTCTGGGCTCAAGCGTACAACAGCGACGAACGCCGACGAGCGCTCGATGGTCGCCCCGACGTCAGGGTATGGGTTAACACCAGGTGGTGGGGCGGGGGGAAGGTTCGTGATGGAGTGGGGGTTCCAGCGTTCGGTTCTCCTCGTGTTCGCCGTGTGTTCACGTGCATCGGAAGAGGACGGAGTGAACGCTGGTTGCAGTGGTGGGGGATGGGGATGGGGATGGGGATGGGGGGGGGAACTCGGCACCGACCGCCTCGGCAGGAAGTGAGCCCCGAGATCGTGATGAGTGGGACCCCAAGGCGAAACCTACAAATGCTCAGACGGTTCCGTTCTTCCGAGGAGAGTGGAGGTCCATTCTTTGGCGTTTTCAAAATACAAAAAAATCATTCCGAGCATTATTGAAAACAACAACAATTGTGCGCGACTATTTTAAAACGCTTCATATTTATTATCCAGGGATAAATTTAATAAACATTCTATGCAATTTTGGTTTTTTTTAAATATTAATCGAGATAGCAGAGTGGTGAAATAAAAAAAGTGCACACGATTGCCATTGTGAACTTCAATAAGGAGTTATTAATTCAACGGAGTGAATGAAAGTGTGCGATAAAGAGGGGAAAAAAACAAAAAAGGGGATTTTAAGACGGAGATACTGGGAGCGAGAGAAATAACGAGGCATTTGAGTGCGTGAACGTTTCGCTTTGCGATATATTTGTTTACCTCGGTTGAGGATTGAGACTGAAATTCGCGGAATCAGTTCGAGGACGATTTAGTGTGATGTTCATAAGTATAACGTCGGTGGCTCATTCCCCCGGCTGTAAACTTGTGTATACCAGTGACGATTTCAATCGTGTACACTCGTGTTGACGATTTAGATAAAGCTGAATAAGTTTTTGAGAATAAGGGACAATATCAGATGATATGTGTGAGGATTACGAGGAGTATAAACTACCAGTGAGGAGTTGAATTGAGAAACAATAGCCGTTGAATCACCAGTGATTATTGAGCTAGAGGACAATTTTAAAGACACCGTATTGAGTTCTCGAAGAATTCGCATACGTGTTTTTTTTTTAAAGATAGATCATTGATAAACGAGTGGTGAAAAAAGAAATTTGATTGACCAAGGTACTATTAAAAAGGCGGCAAACTGTACGGCCACAGGGAGGAAGACATGCTAACGATGGAGACGGATTTGAAGGGCGGCAGCCTTCACGGCCAAATGCCGCCGCATCCACACCAGGGTGTATCCCCAATGGGTCATCACACAGGAGTATCACCATACGGTGCCCTAGGCTCGATAGTTCACAGTCCAGCCTTGTCATCGGGGTCACCACCTAGTTCAGGTGGTCTGAGTGCCCTGACCCTTCAACATCATCACCAGGCGCAACAGCACCACTACGCATCGATGCAAGCTGTCCAACAACAGCAACAGCAACAGAGTATGCACAGCTTGGCACAGCAACAGGCTGCAGCACATCATCCCCATCAGCAGTCGCAATCGCAAGCCCCTTCGCAGCAGTCAAATCCTGGCCAGCAGCATCAAGCGCCCAACAACAACAACAGCACCAACAAGAACAACAACATTGATCGCGTCAAGAGACCGATGAATGCATTCATGGTGTGGTCGAGAGGACAGCGTCGTAAGATGGCACAGGAGAATCCAAAAATGCACAATTCCGAGATATCAAAGCGTCTTGGAGCCGAGTGGAAGCTTCTCAATGAGACTGAGAAGCGTCCGTTCATCGACGAAGCGAAAAGGCTGCGAGCTGTTCACATGAAAGAACACCCTGATTACAAATACAGACCGAGGAGGAAAACCAAGACTCTAATGAAGAAGGACAAGTTTCCACTTGGTTCTGGAGTTGGGGGTGTTGGAGGTATGTTGGGGGTTGATCAGCGTCAAGTCAGTGGTGGCGGTGGACCACAGCAGAGTCAGTTGCCAAGGGATGTTTATCAGATGCCCAATGGTTACATGCCTAATGGATACATGATGCATGATCCGACGGCTTATCAGCAGCATGCCTATGGTGGACACATGGGTGCTGCTGCTGCTGCGGCTGCTGCTGCTGCTGGATATCCACGGTACGATATGAGCCATCACATGGGTGGTGGCAGTCCAAGTCCCATCAATAGTTACATGAATGGATATGGAGGATATGGCACAACAACTGTACCTGGAGGCTCACCATCACCATATCATCAGGCACAACCCGGATCGCAGATGTCGAGTCACAGTCCTAGTGGCAGCAGCATCAAGTCTGAACCAACGAGTCCAGCAAGTGGTGGTATTCATACACCAACACCAACTGGTACGAGTACATCGAGCAATCCAGTCGTTAAGAGGGAGTACATGGCACAGCAACAGGGACAACAACCACAGGGGGATTTGAGACAGATGATCTCCATGTATCTGCCGCAGAGCGGTGAACAGGGAGTTATACAACACTCGGCTGGGGTTTACTCACCTGGACCATCACCAGATCCACTGGCACAGCATCATTCGGTTATACCACCGCTCACTCACATGTAAGCTTTCTTTATATTTTACATTTATTCATTGTTGGTGGCAAATTATCTTTTTATCAACCATTTTTTGAATTGCCACTTGTGGGTGGAATCGATGGATATTTATTATTTGGGACCAAATATTTCAGTTGACAAATTATTCTTTAAATGCAGAAATGAAGAAATTGTAATTTAAGGAATGGTTGAGTAAAAGATTTTTCTCCACCCGTAGATTTCTTGTAGAAATGTAGATTCTTGGAGAGTCTTGATGTACACGATACAGACACTTATTTTTCAACATGATTGAGTTTATATTGACGTTTGTCACTCGAGTTTGTCAGTACCAAATTCTTATTAACTTTACCATCATCTCCAGTTCTTTTCTCCTCATTGTTTGAAGTCGTCCTTCTGCTTTTTCCGCTTTATTATTTGATCATCTATTTATTGCTGCATGAAGGGTCTCACGAGTCTGGCTCTGACCGTTTTTCAATTTTTTTTTCAATCTTTGCATATGATAATTGTTTGTTTTTCAAATGATATTATTTATTTTTCAATTGAAGAAAAAGCTAACGAAAACATAACACTAATCTCGTAGGATAGCTTAGACGCGGATGGACTGAGGCCTGCCAGGGATCTTGTGAAGCATACAGGGATAGTCGTGGGGAAATGATCGAAAATATTAATAAATCGATAGACAGATGATTCCGGATTTATGAAAAAAACAGTCTAAAATACACGAGTAAAAGTGCGGGGAGAAACTGAGAAAAAGTTAATTGAGAGAGAAAAAAAAGGGTTGGAAAGAGGGCACGTGGGAGCCTGCGGAACAGCAAAAACACGTTTCCACAGAGAGGATTTAAACGTCGAGGGAGCGAATCATTCTCAAGCATCGTCAGCCTCAACTTGTTCATCAGTTTCATGCTGAAAAAAAAGAACCAAAAAAAAAAATCCAGAACACAAAAAAAATCAACTGGAGAAGAAAAAAAAAATCAACGAAAAGAGTAGAAAAAAAAAGAAACCGAAATGTTCACTCGAAATTTTCGCTGCGGAAACGAGTCTCTTCCGCAAACTCCCACGTTAAATCTTGAAGAGCCATTCAGTGAAGAATAAAAAAACAGAAAAAAACGTCAATACAAGTAAATTTAAAGAAACAAATAAAATGAAAGAGGGAGAAATAAAAGTAATCGTATATTACGGCCAGACTCGTTTTCCTCCAGTAACCACTGTGATAATAACAATAAACGCGCTTCAGTATGATCGAACGAACGGGGAAACGAACCGGCATAAATGTGTGTGTTTTTTTTTTCTTCCCGAGGGAGGATAAAATGACGAAAAAAAGCGAAGAGACAAAATGAAAAAGCAAGAAAAATTGATTAAGAATGAGAGAAATAGGGTCGTGGCTGGGAATGCGACGTGAAGTTTAATTAAATATAATTAAAATTAATCTTACTGTAAATATTATTTATAAATATAGTATACATAGATTAATTAAACCTGCGTGTATATATTATATATTAGTTCTCTTGCAACCGGTATTAGACGAAAGAGAATCAAATAATGAGGAAGAATTGAAAGAGACTCGTGTCGGATTCCGTGGAAATCATCAGATTAACATGAATTTAAGAGAAAAATACGTTTTCGTCCCACCCCCGTGTGTGTAAATACTTAATCCGATATTAAAAAATTTTAAACTTGAGAAAATTGAAAAGAACACAAAGTATATATGAAATATATATCGAAGATGATTGAATATATTCGAGGACAGACGTTTATATTATCATTTATCATTAATATTAATTGTGTCATAATCACATCAGTGCCCTTACATAATCTTTAATTATTAATCATTAATTATGAACTATTATTCAATATCATAATATTATGAATGCTCATTATTGTTTTCATTTTTTTTTTTAACCACCCTCTTATTTTCCTCTCCGCTCTCCTCAAATCACTCACAAATCATTCAAGTATTATTACATTATGCATTAAGTTAATATTATTTCTCTCGCACTATTAACATTTTGTTCTTCTGTTGGACGATATATTTGTCATTTACTGATCCATGACTGTGATCCCATAGGACCTATCGGACGACGTTTGCCCCATTTTTTTATCCCTACGCGCAAGAACTTCGAGCGCTTGAACTCTAGAATAGAGTTGTAGAGATAAAAATTATCACACGACATCACACACACTCACATGAGGACAGAGCGAGAGAGTGAGAGAGATAAAAAAAAAGATGGAGAGTAAAAAGGAAAATTTAAGTTATTGCGATGATGCTCGAGGGGTGGTGATAAGGCGGACACCATGTTGTTTTTTTTTATTATTATTATTATTTGGCGCGAAATTCGAACACGAATTTGGTTGAATAACAGTTGATTGAATACAGAAAATTGATGAAGAGAAAACCGAAAAAAAAACCATTAAATAAAAGGATTAATGAAATATAATAGATAGATATGTATGTTTTTTTTTTCCTTTATTATGTATGATGTTTGTATATAGACGAGCACACACTTGGCTGCGTGTAGATTATCGATTGGAAAGAAACTAGAGAGAATAGTTGTGAACAAAATTTAATTAATATTAAACGATAATGATTATCAAAATTATTTGCATTTGAAATATGTTTTTTCCTCTTTCCTCAATCCCGTTTTTGATTCTCTCTTGCTCGGTGGATTCACATCTCCCAGTGTTCGCCGGTCATTTATTTTATTATTTATTTGAGAGATTATGAATTGAGGGGAATACATTGAAATGTTGTGGACGGGGGGAAGGAAGATTCTGAGAGAAAAGAGATTGTTTCATGTGAGAGTTGTCTCGTAATCAGAGAGGCTCATGTACAGAATATATAATCACTTCTTGGATATTCTAGATCCCAGGAAATATACCCTGTATATATCATGTTCTCATTGTCCTGGAGCTCAGCCTCTGGCTTACGAAAAATATTATATAATTCATTAAGTGCATTTAATTGTGTTTTCAATTTTACGTAAATACCCGTACATGAGTCATACATCCTGTTCATGAGACTTACAATTCAATGGTTGAAATGATCCCTGGGAGGCGAAATTTATCAGGTAATTATGAATAAACAGAAATTAATTAATTTTCTAAATTTTTGGAAAAATCCATTTCCCCACTCCCCGTGTAAAAAAAATTGTAAAGGAATATTTTTTCCAAATTTTCAAAAAATTTCTGGAAAACTTCAGAAAATTTTTTTTTTTGAAAAAAAAAATCGGGAAATAAAACAATTGTATTTTTGGGAAATGTTTTGAAAATTTTTCTTATTTAAATTTTTGAAAAATTTTTCAAAACCTTTCCCAAAAATAAAATTGTTTAGTTTCCTAATTTTTTTTGTTTCAAAAAAAAAATTTTCTGAAAAGTTTTCCAGAAATTTTTGGAAAATTTGGAAAAAATATTCCGATTACAATTTTTTTTATCCGGATCTTCAACGATTGAATTATATTACTACTATATCAATTCGAAAAATTACTCCGAAAAAATAATAAACAAACAAAAGTGCAGAGTAATGAATTTTTTTACTTTTCAAGTGCTTTCAATTATCCGCATTTGCTTAATAAGCCCTCAGCAAAGAGGTCCTCGCTTGCTGGTGAACTAAACCTCCTCTGCTTCCAACTCGCCTTGCCAGCACGTTCCTGCGATAAAAATGTTCATAAATACAGGCGACAAGGTGCTTTTCTTTACTTAGAACGAATTATAGCACCGCTTGTGCCACAAGTCTTTCATCGCGAGAATTATTCTTCGGAAAAATCCGGGGTTGGATGATAATAAATATTGTTCATTCCGTCACGAATTTCTTTGAAGTGGTTTTTTCCCTCGAACATTTCGACAATTCGGTCAGTACAATTTTTTATCAATAGAAGAATAAATTTTTTATCAATAGAAAACTCCTCCCAACTCTAACTCCTCCAAATTGAGATCAATTTTACTGTGACATTTATCATTTCATGACATTTCAGACATTCATGACTGGATACATAGCAACAAATTTTTTTCTGCCCTCTATTCTCCTGGATTTGTTCTCTGAGTTATTAATTTATTCATTTCCCTAGGGTCTGCCTACTTGAAAGTACACCTCACTTGTAAACTTGTTTTGTATTCGTGTCTGTGCCACTCGAGACTCCTCGTACCGGTCAAACAATAATTCGAAGACGATATTTATACAAGACGTCTACGGTTCCAGTCGAGATGTGTCCTATGACGTCACGTCCCTCATTCATTCATGAGTTTCAATGTTATGTTATTCTTTAATGAAACAGAAAATTGAGGTTTCCATCTGGGTTGATAAGACCCGGGATTATCGAAGCCATTCAATTAATCCACTCAGCAGTGAATTTATTTTCAATCATTCAAGTGCAGTTAAGGTTTGTCGAACGATTGAAGATTATGCAAAACTAATCTCTGTGAAAATATTGATTTTGCCTTGTCAATTTACCAGGTAATGTTTGTTGTCTGTTTGCACAGAGAAATTCCTCATTTTTTATCAGGTGTTCCATCGTGTTTATAAAGCGATCTATCCCGAATTATAATAAGAAATTACGACAAAATGTGCGAGAATAATTTTTATTGGTAATTCAGGGTGTATCATTTGCGATAGGAAAGAGAATTTTTGTGATGGATAGTTGGTAGCTTGTAGGCTTGCATTTCCAGTGGGTTTCTGCGAGTGTGTAATTTATTTCATAAAAAAATTTTCTGAAAAATTTTCCAGAAATTTTTTGAAAATTTGGAAAAAATATTCCCATTACAATTTTTTTTTACCCGGATCTTCAACGATTGAATTATATTACTACTATATCAATTCGGAAAATTACTCCGAAAAAATGGTAATGGTAATGTTTGTGGTTTGTTTGTACAGAGAAATTCCTCATTTTTCATCAGGTGTTCCATCGTGTTTATAAAGCGATCTATCCCGAATTATAATAAGAAATTACTTAAAAATGTGCGAGAATAATTTTTATTGGTAATTCAGGGTGTATCATTTGCGATAGGAAAGAGAATTTTTGTGGTGGATAGTTGGTAGCTTGTAGGTTTGCATTTCCGGTGGGTTCCTGAGAGGGTGAATTTCGCACGGGAACGGAAACGAGACGGGATAGGTGTCTCGAGGTTTTATACGGCGACGCCGGGGGTACAAAAGCGAAGAACTTAAACTGAGAATGAGGAGAAAAAAAAAAAGCCATGGGGGAAATAAAAGTTGAGAAGTGACAGAGGAGAGGAGGTAAATATGTGAGAGAGCCCCCGAAGCGATCGTTGCGGACTGGTTCGACTAGCTACGGGGTCAGTTTATCGCAAACAAATGGGTTACGCTCTTTTATGGCCGTATTTCACTGGAATTTATTGTTTATTATTCCACCGTACCATGGGATGATATAGGGCCCATGTTTGCCCGTGCGTTGCGTTAATGTCGTTAATAGTTCCACCGGTTTCACGTCGCAAACTCGTCTCGTTATTGTTTTCCACAATTTTTCTATTACACTCCCTGATTTTCAACTTGACTAGAACAATTATTTGTGTAAAAAATAAATACTGTTCCTCCAAGAAGATATTCCTCCGTGATTACTCCAAGTCAACAGCGATAATTGATGTCTGCCGACTAGTTAAGTGTCCTGACTAGCTCTAATGCTTGATTCGCATGATGCGACAAAGTCCCTTGGCACGAGGGTCTCACCTCTTTGTATTTCAACATAACATGTTTAATCCACTTCACCCCACCAACTCCTTTCCAGCGATTGTAATCAACCACCGATTTGTCGTAATTTCAGTGTTCACCTCTTCGTCTCGAGAAGAAAAAAAAAATATTAATAAATAATGAATACGAAAAATAATAAAATAGGTGCAGACACGCTTATCGCCACCTCTGGTCACGTGCCCCGAGTAGGTGAGGAAATTATGGGGGAGGCATTTAATTTTCTCTGATTGATCTCCAGTTAAGTCGAGTAAGAAAATTAAGTCATTCCCTCCAAATATTATTTTTATTGATTTTACAATTATGATTATAACTGTTATAGAGTTGATATATTTTTTTTCATATCTAAGGGCACTTGTACCTCATTGAAACTCACGTGTGCCACAACATCTGGAGGAAGCGTTGGTTGTCACCACCTATGTCCACAAACCAACTCCTCAGTCTCTAAAAACGAAGAGAAAAAAAAAAAGAATTTAATCCATTTGTATTCATTCGCACCGGTTCGACATCGTGTAATGCCGAGAGAAATCGAACAGCCGTGCAAATATATATCCGTACGCTAAATGCGATAACGTGTATTTGATATTGAACGCAGAATAAGGCGAGTCTAATGCGAAACTACGGAAATTCACGGGCGCTTGTGTGTGCATTTGATGACGGAGGTTTTAAGATATATAGGTACTACATGGGCAATTTTGTGATAATACTAGCCATTCATGAAGAGACCTCAAAATACTGGGCTCTTATCCTCTCAATCCTCCTCAAGGTCGGTATTCCGATTTTTTTTACCCGGCGATTGAGACCCACAAAAATATTCAGCTTCGAATATTTTTTTTTTGTGTGATGTAACAATTGAGCTATTAAAAAAGACAATTACTTGGTGATTTTCGTGAGTAAAAGTAAGTGTTGGCACCTGTGATTTTCAGGGTCTTATTCGCCCCTTGTAGAGTGGATGATCTCGCAAATTAATTGAGGCGCATCCACGCGCACCTTCTTCGTGGCTTCAAACCTACTATATCTCATTTACTCTTCCAACTACTCTCAAGAAGAGTTCCCATCTCGCCTGTGAAGAGATTGCAATTTTTCATGCCCACTAATCGACTCGACGTAGCGCATCCTGCCTCGGGAACATCATCAGTGTAATTTTCGTCAGATGATTCTGGGGGAAAATCGCGGATGAATATAACGTATTGAGAGATGGATTACTGATATCAACGTAAATGGGATTGAATTGATGATAAGTGGAGAGGATGATAAATAGAAATTTGTTATTATTATCATGTTTATCATTTCAGTACGATAAAAAAGTTGAGAGTGTCAATTTTTCGCTGGATTCGCGATCAATAGAATCGATTCGTCTCGTCACGCCGTGTGTAATTTATTTCATAAAAAAATTTTTTACGCATGCTTCCCGGTAATTAAATAAAAGTAGATCGATTGCGCGTTATCTCCAAATCACGGCGATTCACTTTCCAATGATAAAAAATTTATTGCAATTACGTTTGAATTTTCTGAAGAAAGCAAAACGAAATCCATTGAAATTATCGATTTTCCAAGTTTATCTTATCAGTAAAAAATTTATAAAACTATAATTTAATCAATGAATATAAATTATTTAACGGGGAAAATTTTAAAGGGATTTCAAGACTATTTTAAACGCAACAGTCGGTTAATCGTGCATAACACGCGGGGTTAACAATGCGCCACTTAACGCTGCCGTAATGGCGCATCGAAATGCCAGGGTAATCTAGTAAATCAATCGCATATAGCAAGGTGAACAAAGTGAATGGGCGCATGATAATCCAGTGTATCACCACCGAAAGAAAGACTGTCACATCGAATCCGAGGGATTAAACAACAATGAAGCTATTAAAAAATTACACATAAAATTTATAACAAATTTGACGTATGAATTTTTCAAGAATTTTTTTCCCCACCGTTTTATTTTCTTTTCTCATACCTCTCATCTACTCAGACAAGTAGAGATGGGATATTCACACCTCTGATGTAGGGGAGTCTGTGTTGGTGTCTAAATATAGATAGGATAGTAATGATTCATAGGA